AAAAAAAAAAAAAAAAAAAAAAAAAACAAAAAAAAAAAACAAAAAAAAACAAAGAAAAGAAAGGCTGTGAATGGAAAAAGTTAGTACCGTCATCATCACATCTCTCCCGACCCCCTGCTCTCTGACAGCTAGCTGCAACATATATTTGCCAGGTGCTGTCATCTACAGGCAATGATGTTGAGCCGGGAGCTAACGGACTCCGAGTGAGCAGTGGCAACGACCACCACCTCAACCTCCACCACCACCACCATCATCATCAGAACAGCAATAGCAGCAGCAATAGCCGGGGTGCCGATGTCCTCTCGGAAAACGGCTCGCGAAGTGGTTTGGAGGACCTGCAGTCCCAGCCGGCGAATCAACAACTGTACCGGCCACCCTCGGCCAGATCCTCGTCGTCGGGTGGTGGCGCCGGTGGTGGAACGACTCAGAGATCCAACTCGGATTACGGAGGTCCACTGCAGGAGCAGCTCGACGACGAGCAGAGGACCTGCAGCAGTCCACCCGATGTCCTCGGCAGTACGCCTCTCTCGCAGATCGGGGCTCAGCACCACCAGCCTCCCGTTAACGATATGTACCTCGGCCAAGGTACGAGATACGATGATACACGAGCTACGATCGCAGGGACTTTTTGCCGATTCGAAAGTAGCAAAAAAAACAATACATTTCCCACCTCCCCCCCCCTCTCTCTCTCTCTCTCTCTCTCTCTTTCTTCGTCCTTACTCTGTAGATGTGGACCCGTTCGCCGATATTCCCGACAGACTTTACATTGAGGAGGCTAGTTACTGGGGACTGATGGCCTTGCAGGATAACAACAACGCGAGGAGCACTGATTTCGAGTTCACCGGCGGCAATTGCCACGACAAACAGCCCTTCCTTGGTTAGACCTTGAAATCCCTGCTCTCTCTTTCCCTTTCCTATACAGTTATAAAAATACGTAGAGAACCAAGTATTGACATTGTTATATTGATTACGTAACTAAGTAGGCAAAAAGAAGCGATAATCGTGTAATAATATGACGGGGTCGATGGGGTGGTTGCCGTTTCCCGGTCGCGCAGACATTACTGTTGCAGGCTCGCCGTCGTCGATGCAGAGCGAGGACGAGGACGAGGTGGCCACCGCGGCGGGCGTGGGCTCCCTCAGCGGTAGATCCAAGGGTCCGAAGCCGAAGCGCGGCGTTTTGCCGAAACAGGCCACCAATATCATGCGCGCCTGGCTCTTCCAGCACTTAGTGGTGAGTTGTTTCGTTCATTTTTTTCTGTTCTGGATTGACTTTTTTTTTTTTTTTTTTTTTTTTAATTAACACGAAATTCTTGTTTTGCAGCATCCCTACCCTACCGAAGATGAGAAACGTCAGATCTCGCAGGAAACGAACCTGACGATGCTGCAGGTGAACAATTGGTTCATCAACGCCCGCAGGCGCATACTCCAGCCGATGTTGGACGGTGCGGGTACCGCGACGACCGATCCCAGTTCTGGAGCGTTACAGCAGCAGCAGCGAGCCTCCAAACAGCAGAGATCCAAGCAACGGAGCAATAGTGGTGGCAACAGTAAACAGCTGCAGTTACAGAACCAGCCGGCGTCTGTATGGCTCTCGGAGGACTCGGGCAGTGAGACGAACGGTTCTAGCGACAACGAAGCTAATGCGTACTCTGGTTGGTATTCTTCTGGATTTCGATTTTAAAAGTTTTTTTTGAGGATTGTATACTCATGTATGGGATGTTAAATGTACGTGCGCAGATAAGAGACTGGGTAGGGATGACGAGGAGGATAGCGAGGACGGAGGCATCGACATCGAGGAGCAGAAACCGTACGTCCACTGACCTCGCGGGCGCGCGCCCGATTCTGATGATGTGCAGATAACGAGAACGCCAGCCAACTCTACTACTACTACTATTACAGCTGCTACTACAACTACTACAGTATTAAGGTACTCGAGGGTAGAAAACGCTTTAACTGTCGTTAAATATGTATTAAAACAGCTGTGTGCGCGTCCTTTGCGAGGACTACTTTTTTTTCCTACGTCGCAGCAGTTTCACGCTACCATTCTTCCGTGCTTCTGTTTCATGTTTAGTTTTATTTTTAATTCTTTCATTTTGTTTCGCGGTGAATTTTTTTTTTTTTTTTTTTTTTTTGAAATTCTTCGCGCATATCACATCGGCTGATGCATATTCAGTATTAAAATTATCTTTTGAGGCAATAGTCGAGCTCGTGAAAATTAAATATATAGCAGCTATTGTACTACTGAATACCTACTGATGCTCTATAAGCGTAGGGTGTGTTAATTTGTGCTCATTTGTTTTTTATTTTTTATTGCACACAATTGAAGGCGTTTGTTTACCCTATCGGTAAAGTTACGAATTATTAATATTATTAAGTATTCAAGGTTTTTTTTGTTATTGCGATTTAGTTAGTATGTAGTTCAATGAACTTCACTCTCTTAATTTATATGTTTTTTTTTATAAACAATGAATAAAAGCACTTGTTGAATTTTATCAACGAAATGCTGCAGCAATTTTTTTTTTTTCACTTCGTTTTAATTTAGCTGAAGCTACACGTTAAAAAAAATAAAAATGCGATGAAAAACACATCGTATATAGGGGAAAAAAACCCCAGATCGACACGTGCACACGGCTTGTCGGAAACGATTTCAAGACTTGTACAGTTTTATCATCATATATTCTCGCCATATTATATTACGCTCGTTTCTCGCGTAATAGTCATTCAGTAATGTTAGAAACAAAAAAGAGAATAAAACAGATACGGGCTTTTTTACTTCAAAAATATAAAAATCGTGTACAATAGTCACTTACTATGGCAGGAGGCTTACGCGCCTGCAGAAAACGCTGATCTTCATGATTTTCACATACATTTGAGGATGTGTGAAACCTATAGACGGTTAAAAAAAATGTTGAAAGAAACGATAATGATCTTCCTACAAAAAAATGCGAAGCAACGATGACGTCGACGATTTTTAAGTGTAAGGGCTTGCGTTTCTAAATTGATAATCTCAATTTTATATGTAATTACGTACATTTTGCTTGTATAAGAATCTTCATGCGAGATTTTCCAATTAAACATTTTTACAATTCACTTACCTTTTTTTTTTCTCAGCGTAATCTCGGGAATTCTGTTTAATTTACAAAGAAAATTTCTTTACTTTATTTGCCTTAGCTGCCACAAAAATATCAAGACATAAGTTCCTATAAACATTATTTTCCAGTCAATATGTGCGTTTACAAACATGTACAATAATTATATATGAATTATATCGGTAATTGTAAAAATTATAGTCTTACAAAGAGTTGTATACGATTAATAAAATACCAATAAAATTTTTTCGTATAATTCATATATATATATATACATCATACCTTTTCGATTAAAAAAATTTTCCTGCATATGGATTTTCTACCAAACCCGCACTTATGATAGTTACGTACTTGTCAACAAAACACCAAATATATTTTAAAAAGTGGAGAAAAAAAAAACACAAGGCAGAGAACCCAAGATTGTCGAACCGTAACTAACGAGAAGGAAAAAAATAATAGATGTTACTTTTCATTGTGCCATGTTATAATTGTGAAGAGTGTGGGGGTGAGATGCGCGCCATAGTTATATTCTTAGTCTGTCTTTCCCCATAATCTCTTTGTTCAAGCTGAGCAGCGCAGCACATCGTTGCAACGTAAAAAAAAAAGTGCTATCCCTTCGAGATAATAAAAACGCGATCCAGGGATTAAAAGTTGCGATGTTCGAATACTTAGTCGCTGTAAAATCTATCTGTGTATATAAATATAAAATACACCATATGTATACCGACTCCTTTGGATTTTACAAACGTATAAATTGTATGAGTAAAATGTTTAAATGGATAAACTTGACTTTTTTTTCATTAATAAATTGTAGATCTAATACGTCAAATTGATCATAACACGTTTCAGCTTGCCTGTACTCTAGAATAAAAAAACATTTACAATTTGTCGCCGGCCTGGATATGATAAATTGAAAAAAATTAAATAATGAATATAAACTTTAATAAACAAAAAATAATTATTTCGATGGCTAATAAAATTGCTATTTGAAATGAATAATATAC